TAACTTTCGAGTTACAATAATTTCGCAAAAGTGGGCATGGTTTCTAAAATATGGGCGTGGTCATTTTTGTAACTCGGTGTTCGTAACTCGAACGAATCAGCATCTCGCTTCACCTACTAATAGATAAACTATGATTTGTGCTTCAACCAGATTACAAGAACTAGGTTCCCCCAATTTTGAATCCGTCAGTGAATGAATGTGTGTCATTCAAAAAATATTATAATGTTAAGTATAAAAGTAAAATGTATTGTGTTAACATTTTTACTACTAATAATAAGTTTAATAATAATAAAACTAAGACTAATAATAAAATTCAAAAGTATCAATTATTTATTCTTTCTTGAAAGGATTTGTAAATACACAGTGAAACCTTTTTAATAATTTCACTTTCATCTGCACTGAGCAATCGAATGAATGTACTGTGTGAATCATGTGGTAGAAAATTAAATTCAAACTATTTGTTGGTGTTCACACAAAGGTATCTATCGGATACATGTAACGCTACCGGTTTCAATTCATTAATAATTTATTGGCTAAAAGTTTAACAGTTATGTAACTCATACATTCAATTGAGACCTAATTTGTCGACAGGCTGTGTCATGTATTTGTATGATGTCATATGTTATTTCAGAATTTCAAGCGATTCTTTGAAATAAGCAAACAAATACTGTGACCAATCGTTTTTTTCAAAATGTCTCGGAAGCATAGATAAAAAGTCACAATGACAATGTGTTAGCAAGCAGGTCGTAAGATGTGCCTCTCTTGCATGTGATGTAACGTATAACACCTCTCATTATTATCAGTCTGTATTATTGGTATGCAAAATAATTGTTACTCCACGGATACACGACGATGCAGTACTAAAATTTTAAATAGGAAGAATCTCCCCACAAATAAAAACTTTCATATTTCAGATGCCAGATATTAATCCTGGAATACACTGTGAACGAATTTCTACTAAAAAAAAGGACTCGCAGCTATTCTTAGCCATCTGGGTACGCAAATTTTATGCCGAGGACAATTGCTACAAATTACAAAATGTCAACGCCCGATCACCACACATTGAATACCCTCAAAAGTATGAGACTTTTCTCAATATATATATATACATATATGGACGGTAGTATTTATGTAAGATGAAACCTGTATATTGTATATCCACTTGATATGTTCAGGCGAGCCGAACAGATGGACCAATTGTTAATCTACTTTTTAAAATGTGTTTAGACGGAAAAAATCATAACAATGAGGGCGGGCGTTTTCTTATATACCTTTTCTTTCATCTCCTATGATATTGTCACGGTTAAAATACTAAAATTTGAAAGCACTACAAATTCTTAATACAAATATTGGAGGAGTGCTCGAACTCGTTTCCATGGAAACAATGGTTTTGTAATTTATCCATATTTCCAAATTGGAAATTTGCATACAATACTAAAAGAAAACTTGTATTAAAGTAAAAGGAATACATCCGATTGTATACATTCCTGGTTTGCTGTCTGATTTATTCCCAAGCACCTCTGCGCCAAGTATAATTTAATCTGAAGATGTTCTAATTTATGTAATTAGGTAATTTAACATGCACAGACTTCAACCTTAAATTATTGGCAGCTGTGGATTAGCCCCCAAAATACATGAGGTTTCATCGAAATCTGAGGATGGTACTCAAGATATATGGATACCAATTGCTTTAAATGCCAAATCTTTGTTTATACAAGACCCATATCTCGCGCATTAGTGGGGCGACGACCACTTCATATACCTACTACATGTGGACTGTAAAAATCATGGGGGCTAGTCAGATGAAGGCGTGTCCAAGATTAAGTCAATTTACAAGTCCCTGTTTTCTTGACTTGTTTGAACAAAGACCAATAAAACATATATGTATACACTTTCAGGAAAAAACTGATATAATGATGCAGGAGTGGTAAATGCCATTTTATTAACCAAATAATGTTTTCAATTCAATTCAATAACAATTTCTCAAAACCTATGACCTGCTAGTATTTTGGCTGTAGCGAACCAAATACAGGCCAGAATCATGGCTGTTATTTAAAGTTACTGTGAGGTAATTCATAAATTCCCATTGGGGTCTTGACATAATTATGCAAAATCAGTGACAGGCTGAATTTGTGCACAAAATATGTTATGTACTATGAAATATTTTACATAATACTACCAAGACCACAACAACGCTTTAGGAATGATCTCAGAGTGCAAGTTCAACATGTGAACAAGGTCACAGTGCATTCACATGAGAATATCATTTCCATACAACATCTTGAAATTTGTTTTTTCCTTAACATACCAATAATTCTAATGTTTAATATTTCTTAATAATGTAGCTTATTTAGTAACCACGGAGGCCTTGATTTATGAACTTCTTTTTACCAACAGCACTAATCAGTGTTGGCTCAATTACCAATTGTTCGATGCACCACCTTGATTTGTTGAGATCTTCCACCATTTTGAAAGAAAAATTTATATTGTTTAGACAATGCTACATATGGGACCCTGATTGTATGCATATGAAAGGTTGAACCAACCACCACGTTTTATAACACCACTGTTGTCATCTGTTGTCGCTGTATACCTGTTTTCTGGTTGGTCTTTACCTACATCACAAGCACCACACACCATACATTATAACATAGTTCAATACAAAAGTTACAGATTCAACACTACAGATTTTTGCCACTACATCTTTTCTTTAATCTTAACAGCATTTTTTTTCTTCATCTTCAATTTCACCTTTTTCACTATCGCTTCAATGACAGTGGCACTTCAACAGGCTATATTTTATCATAAATAAATTGTTCCACAGCAGTGAATATTTTCGGACTACATACTAGTAACCATCACATGATTTCAGCGACAACGGCTCATTCCACATCTGAACCATCATCTTCATCTTTCATCTTCTTCAACTTTGAAATTAATTCTTTCGCTGGATTGAACACACCCATTGTCTGTGTTCCACAGACGTAACATCTTTGAGATTTTCGATAATGATTCAGGGCACATTTCTCACAAAAATAATGTTTGCATTTCGTGACAATAGGATTTTTGAAAGATTTTCTGCAGAGAAAGCATTTGAAAGGAAAATCGTCATCATCACTACTGTTTATCTCGTATCTATGCGAGTCTTCCTCGTTGTATTCGCCATCATCACATTCACGTTCCAACTGCCAACCATGTTTATAGTCGGATCTATCGTGTAAGAATTTACAACTGTCACCAAAACCACAAAACCCAGTTTCTTTATAATCTTTGCATATATCTGGGGCATAGTCCCACCTCGTGGTTACTCTGAGATTGTCCGGTGCCCTAATGGGACCTTTCCTTACGTGTCCACTACCTGCATTACCCTGTGCTGTGTCTTTCTTTTCAATGTAGCTAGCATAGTTATGAATACCTCGATAAATTTTGTCATCTTCCTTGCCTTTCAATTCTTCTTGTAGCTGTTGGCTTCTTTCAAATATTGCTCTTGCATCTCTCTCCTTCTCGGTGTCAACTTCAACGATAGATGTAGCTCCCCTGTCGTCGGGACCTTCGGGTTTTGCGGTTTTAGAAGACTTGTACGACACTGCGATCGTGTCTTTCTCGTCGTCACTGTCGCTGTACTCTACCTTGTCCTTTTCTCGCAGACGTTTGGTCTTCTGTATCATCGGGTTAGCGACATCTTTTCTTTTATCTCGTCGTAAAACGGCATTTTTTTCTTCATCTTCAATTTCACCTTCTTCACTATCGCTCGTCTTCCGTATTCGGGCGACCTGTTTTCGTTTAGATTTTTTGAAAGAGAAGGAACAAACAGGTGAACTACCAGCAGCTGCCATATTTGAAATCGTATGAAATCGTTCAATAGTGCGCCCTCTACTGAAATTTCATCATACGCATGCGTGGCTAGCCATTGTTGTCACCGTAATAAGTAAGAGGGTAGCAGAATTTTGATAATTTTTCCGTTTATGTATGCATATATGTGAGGGTCAGTGGTAGGAGAGGAAACCAATAGTCTCCATGAACCTCGCAAGCCACGCAGGGGAGGCAAATGCGAATTTGCTATTCGTAAATGTCAACCAAGATTGCACGTAAGTGATGATGTCATTGACAAAATTGTCACAATCTATCTGTTGTTTATGTATTTTAATCAACATAGGAAATTCGACTGCATTTAAATGGAACTTGCTAATATGTTTTATTTAATAGGTCACTAGCAGTCGGTGCTAAATCTGGGTGTAGGCTTTTCTCTCTTGGCTCTGTGGACAAGTTAGAAGCAATTTACGAACACAATGGTGAGTGAATGACGATCGTCATATAAATTCATAGACTTCTTGTTGTGTCAGCTGATTTTATTTGTCAGCGTATGGTTCAAGAGCGGTTTTGTCAATACCCGATATTGCTTTAATTTATTAGCAGTTCGCCGTAATAAGGTGTAGTTTGTATCATTTTAACGTGTCTTATCTGACTGCCATCAATAAATTGCCCAAAAACTGCACCATAACAGAGCACAACAATGGTCCTATTTACTGCCCTATTGTTGTCCTATATACGGCAGACTCATTAATTATTCACTGGATTTTAATTTCGTTATTTTCATTCAGCTGATGCATATATGTGAAATCATTTGTATTTGTGAATTTATTAATCCATGTGAACACAGAAAATTGCAAATACAACTTATTGATTCATTGGAAATCAATAAGCATTTAAAACCCAGTGAGTGTGATCAAATATTGAAAAAGTGAAATTAAATAGCAGTAAAAATAAATCCTTCCACAGTATCATAAAATAAACTAGTCCTATTTATGGTATTATTTTTTTAATTAACATAATTTTAATCATTGATATTGCATATTATTACTGTAGATTGTTTAATTTTAATATCTAGGAGCTTTTTTAGTTTGATAATTTTGAGTTATGACAAAGTCTTTTTATTATAAAACCAAAGGTAAATACTCGAAAATTCTCATTTTTTGTGAGAAAATTAGTTTGATGACCAGATTTTTTCATCTGAAGTTTGTGAGCAGCAGTATAATGTAATAGGTAGATGTCAAGGAAATTTGGCAATACCGAGCTAAGTTTCAATGCTAACCAACTACCTTAGGGATGAAAATAAAATTGATGATCCCAGACTCACAACAAGTTTTTGTGTAAAATTAAAGCGGTCTTTCTACGTACATGTAGTTTATATGCTTGATAGTAAATAATATACAAGTAAGATTGAGAACTTTATTACAACCATACAGCACGTGTGACATTTCTAATTTTTAAAATCAAATGAAAATAGTTTAAAACTTTGCATAACTCAACTGTGTTAATTTATTACTACTATCTACCTGTATTTTGATATGCAAGGATTGCAATGATAATGTCTCTTTCAATTTTGCTCAAGTAAATTCTTTAGTTATTTTTACAAATTTGTACTAATGATATTTATAGTATTGAAGATAATATTTTTTTGCCGAGTGTGAAATTTACACTGCATTAAATGTCATTTTTTATACTGTGTGTAATGTTTACATAGTCTGTCTTCTACGGGGATTTTAAGTTTTGTATGTCATCCTTTCTCGATGACTAATTTATCCCAGCTGAGTTTAAATTGTTCCGTTGTTTTAATCAGTTTTCTGTTATTTTGCACTATTATGTATTTTTCTTGTTTTTTTTAAAAAAAATACTATACATGCATAATTTTCACCTTTGTTGTCAAGGGTCTATTTATTCGAATAGTGTTCTTCGATCGCGTTCAGTGGTTGTTTTTTCTTCCTGATTCTGTATAATTATTGTTCTTTTTTTATCTAGAAACAGAAGACATTTGCATTGTGGAACGGTTATTCTCCAGTAGTTTAGTTGCTATGGTAAGTCTGTCATCACCTAGAAAATTGAAAGTATGTCACTTCAAGAAAGGAACAGAGATATGCAACTACAGCTATCCCAACACTATATTGGCAGTTCGACTCAACCGATTGGTAAGTAAAATGCCATATCTGATATAAAATACTGTCCTCATTCATAGCAAGGTGATCTCCCATTTGTCATAGTACCTATGCAGAATCTAGCTGGTCATTGACTAGTTAATACTTCATAGTTTTCTTAGCCAAATACCACTCTTGACAAACAGGGAGAAGATACAATGGAAAATTTGAAATCATCTTCCATAAATTGATGTTTAATTTTTTATTGGTAACGTTTTTAAAAGGTGGTTATTTTCTCAGAGTACTGGCAGTATCTGCTTACCCTTCCTCTCAGCCGTTGTGGAAGTTACATTTGCCCTAAATTTAAAAGTATAAAAATATTATAAAAACTTAAAGATAAATTAGAATTGTGCTGTTTATAGGAAATTAATGTATCTAATAATTTAAAGTATTTTATGGTAATGTTAGAAGTTGTTGTTACTATCATATTGTGATATGTTGTAATTTCTCATGTATAATTACCTTAGTCTTTAAAATCTCTCTTGGCTCCATTTTTAACTGATTGTATTTTAAACATTTGTAAAGCATGCAAACTATAACTTTATGTGTCATTTAATTTTCGTGATATGATTCATGGGGACAAAATTTCTTGTTAGTGACTGTGACTTGATGTTTTATGGATACTAAAGAAATGTTCACTGCTACAAAATCATTGCCTTTCTTTGTGTGTGTCACAAACGTTGATCTCTCGAAAAAAGTAAAGCGATTTACAGTAACTTCAAATTTGTGTACATTTAGTAGTTTAAAGTGCCACATTGTGTTCCCATGCGATGTATACCATACTATGCATGTAAAATAAATATATATAATATTTGAAAGTGCACTGCACAAGGACAGTAGCACTTGAATTTCTAAACTGTTTCCGCTTACAGAGATTGATTGTGGCATTGGAGGAAAGTCTTTACATACACAACATACGAGACATGAAAGTTCTACATACGATACGCGATACACCACCCAATCCGATTGGACTATGTGCATTGTCAATTAACAATGACAATTGCTATCTGGCGTATCCGGGTAGCAGTCAAATTGGTGAAGTCCAGATATTCGACTCTGTGAATTTACGAGCAGTCAATATGATTCCTGCCCATGATAGTCCTCTAGCGGCTTTGATGTTTAATCCCACTGCCACTAAACTTGCTACAGCTTCTGAAAAGGTATGTTTATAATTTTAGGTTTACGTACGTCACTTATATAATGTCTGTATACCCCTGTCAGTATTTACAGCAAGTGTGAGAAGTATTGGTGCAGCAAACTTGCTCACTAAATCGCTGATAATTTTGGTTTTGACCAAGCAGATTTGACTAACTCAATCAATTTTGCATACTCTTCAGTTGTATAAAACCTCATAAACTTATTTAAAATATTGTTTTTTATAAATGACTAGCATTTGATAGTGACAGAATGAAAAGTAATATTCAAATTGTAGGTCATCTGCTTTAGTCATAAGTAAATTGATTGTCGAATTAGTGAGCTAGTTATCTAACTTGCTCCCATATACTTCTGAGACTTGTTGTAACTACATGTATATTCCACTGTTTTGTAAATCTACATGCAACACTCTAAACTGTCTAAAGTTTTGTGATATGACGAAATTCATGAGAATGAAATTTCATAATGCTGTCTCAACCCTTTGAATGCTATTTTTGTTCCTGCCAGAATTTTTTAATTTGTGTAAGATATTTCACAGTTTTATGTACTTTTTAGCTCCGCTGTCGACTGTCGAGCGGAGCTTATCGTATGAGTGATTGTCCGTTGTCGTGCGTGTCAATGTTTTACTTTTTCGACTTCTTCTTGAAAACTACAAGCCTGAATGCTTTGATACTTGGTGTATATGTACCTTGGGTAGACCTCTCTCAGATTTGTTCATTTCATGAAGATATCTGCAATTCTCTAATTTTGGTGAATATTTTTGTCATTTTTGGTAAAAAGTGATATTTTCAACTTCTTGCTAAAAACCGCAAGTCCAATTGCTTTGATAATTACATATATAGGTACTACATGTGGACCTCTCTCAGATTTGTTCATTTTGTAATGATATCATTAATTCTCTAATTTTGGTGAATATTTTTGGTAAAAAGTGATACTTTCGACTTCTTGTTGAAAACCGCAAGTCCAATTGCTTTGATATTACATATATATTTACTACATGTGGACCTCTCTCAGATTTGTTCATTTCATAATGATATCTTTAATTCTCTAATTTTGGTGAATATTTTTGTCATTTTTGGTAAAAAGTGATATTTTCAACTTCTTGTTAAAAACCGCAAGTCCAATTGCTTTGATATTACATATATAGGTACTACATGTGGACCTCTCTCAGATTTGTTCATTTTGTAATGATATCATTAATTCTCTAATTTTGGTGAATATTTTTGGTAAAAAGTGATACTTTCGACTTCTTGTTGAAAATCGCAAGTCCAATTGCTTTGATATTACATATATAGGTACTACATGTGGACCTCTCTCAGATTTGTTCATTTCATAATGATATCTTCAATTCTCTAATTTTGGTGAATATTTTTGTAATTTTTGGTAAAAAGTGATATTTTCAACTTCTTGTTAAAAACCTCAAGTCCAATTGCTTTGATATTACATATATAGGTACTACACGTGGACCTCTCTCAGATTTGTTGATTCATGATGATATCTTTAATTCTCTAATTTTGATGAATATTTTTGTAATTTTTGGTACATTTGGACCTCTCTCAGATTTGTTCATTTTCCAATGATATCTTCTGTTCTTTAATTGCCATGTGCATTGCTAACAGCGGAGCTATCTCAGCCGACAGGCTGCTTGTTTATAATTACTTTAATAATTTTGGCAGAAATGAATATATTGTTTTTTGAACTATATGTTTTTAATTTTTAAATGTTTTAATTTTGGCAAAAATGAATATATTGTTTCTTGAACTACATGTATATGTTTTTAGCAAAAATTTCAAAAAAATGTAAATATATTCATGCAGTTTTATTTTTGTGAAAGGTAACAAAAAGTTGATTTTGACATACAAGGTGTTCAAGATCCCAAAGCAAAGCTTATTGCTGTAAAAAAAAAAATTCCTGACTAAAAAAGTAAAGGAAATTACAGCATGTTGGCACAATTGTATATGGAAATAAGATGTTCACTATGTTTTGTTTCAAATAGGGTACAGTAATCAGAGTTTTCTGCATTCCAGAAGGACAAAAATTATTTGAATTTAGAAGAGGAATGAAAAGGTAATCAAGCTTCACCTCTTGATTCTTGATGTGTTTTTTTGTGACTGTTTTTGTTTAAACTTGGTACATATATAGACTGTCAGATTCAAAACGGCAGATTTTTTTCGGAGATATGTATCTACCGGTAACATGCCTTTACCAGCTTTACTTTGAACATACATACATGTAATACTACTTAGGATACATCTGTACATACATTTGTAAATTGTTTTTATTCAAAATGACTGATGAATGTAAGCTGTTCAAGTATCACCAGGGGTTTTTCTAGAAAAAAACTGCAAGAGGGAGCACTGCAATTCAGCGGCGCCACCAAGTGGGGAGATAGGGTTCACCCTACCAGGGTGTGGAGTTTTTGATAATTCTTAGTTAAAATGGTGCATTCTATGGCTTCCTTGTCCTTGAGGCCAAAATTACTATCAGACAGGTCACAGTTGAAGACTGTGGCTACATGTGATCCTTGATCAATCAGAATTTTATGTTTGCCAGAGGATCTGCTCCCCAGGGTAAGGGGCGCATGGCCATGGCATGAGGGCGCTGCACCCCTGTTCCCTGAGTGTCACTGCTATCAATATTCATGATGTGATACCTTGACACCAATTTTCTTAAATGTGCTGACTTGCTGCCTATTCTAAAGTCTATGGTTTCATTGAGATATTAAGATAACTCTATTGGCTAAGGTCTGTGATAAAACTTTCACTGCTTCAAAATTTGGTGGTTTACCTGACTCTCAAAACTTATTGTCTTGTAAAAATGAAGTGGTTTCCATTATGTTCTGTACTACACATAACCTCAATCTGAAATACTGTATAGGGATTCATTTTTAGCTGGGTTTTTATTTTACTTCATTTCCGTAATTGCGATAAATTAAAACAAAGTGAATATTAAACCAATGGTTACCAAAATGGAGGACAGTTTTCAGTAAAACTCATGAAGTGAAGTGGAAATTATTGCCCAGCTTAAATTGTCATTAAAACTGAATAGTGACCTCCTTTTTGAATACTGAATAAATAAAAACAACATATGTTAGAACTATCGGTACTCAAAAATGGACATTAAATTGTTTTTAGTTTGTGTTTTGTTTATAACTATAAAAAAAAAAAGAGGTCAAGGTAACTGGATGTTCATTTTTGAATATAATATATATCCTTGCAACATAAAATCCACTAAAAATAAACCTATTATGAGCTTTTCGCCTATTATGAGCTTTCAGTCTAGTAAGATAAGATATAATTGCTCTAATTAAATTTGTTTTTCTCATTTTTCAGATGTGTTAGTATTAGTTCTTTAGCTTTTAGCGCTGATTCCGTGTTCCTATCAGCTTCAAGCAATACAGAGACAGTACATATATTTAAATTGGAGACTCCAAGGGACAAGTAAGTATACTGGCAATGTCATGGCATGGCAAACAGTCGTTGGTGTACCAGCATGTACATTTCAGCCTCATTTTTTCTGATGTGTCTACCACCATGTTACTACATTGTGTATAAAAATAGATTCACGTCTTAAAAAAACAGTAGTTGACTAACTTTAAAAAAATGAGAGGACACATAGTACTAGTAGGGTTCAACGCTATATGAAGTACGGGCTAAGATTTAAGCTAATCTCATATGTTTGCATATCAGACTTGATAAATTGTGTTCATCCACGGGAGACAGTCGTTAGTATGGGCTAATGAATGCCCAAACTTGTTAAGAATATACAAAACGTCATTTCTATTAAGATTACTCAGTAGAGTAATCAGGCAGGTATACATATTAGTTGTATGTTTATAAAACAATACTAAAACAAATTTAGAAAGTGTAGTTTGTAGTCGCAACAAAAAGTAATAGTAGTAGTCTCAACATTGTTCATTTTTCCTCAAGAACAATATCTCTAGATGTGCTTGGGATGATTGTCATGTCAGAAATGACATCGAAATGAATAGTTATGAATATAATAGTAAATCTTCCAAATAAACATTCACACACTTAATCAGCCCATGATAAGGATCTGGATTGGGACAGTCCAAATTTAATCCGTACTTGGCATTTCTTAGACGTGCTAAGTGTTCATGCATGTTTTCTCAGTACGTGCTAAGGTATATGACCTCTTGGCCTGCACTAAGGAGCTATGTGTAAACATAATACAAACACACTATTATAAACCTGTTTACTCTTCAATTAAATAATAACACTGTGTACTCCACTGTAGCTTGGTACTAATATATTTAGATGGTATTTTTTATTTGGTACTTAGTATTCTGAATTATATCTGTATAGTTGTTTTACAATAAAGTTATTTCAGATATAGCAGTATAGGGCACACTTCTTAAGGTGCAATACCATCTTACTTGTCTTAGCTTCTTTTGCAATGTAATTTTCACACTCATGAATTCGTTTACAAAATTTGGCTTTTTCTCTTTCATTTTACAGAAATATATGTGTCTTCTTACAAGCAAACAAATAAAATAATTATGGGATAATGTTTCATTTGGATCAGAAATTATCCTGCACAATCTACTTGGTGGTGTCTGTTTTTTGAGTGAATTACCCCACCAGAACAGAATATCTTTCCAGAGGGACTCTGTGTAATAAGAATCATAAAATACGTTTCGGTTGCTCATGGCAGTGTGTACATAGTAAAGTGGAATATTTTTGTAGATTAATTTCATGTAGTTTTTGATTTGTGTATAAAATATTGTGCAAGATCTTAACTAAAATTCTGAAATTTTACTGTCTATTTTCATCATAAGTTTGTAACTTTTGCCCTACTCAATAGCCCCCCTTGTAGTTTTCTTTCACTTACCGGCGAAACAAACGACCTGATTTATGATCTTCACTTCAATCCCTGAGACACATACATTTTACTTGTTTTATTTTTCAGACCTAATGAGGAACCAGCAAGTTGGATGGGTTATGTCAGCAAAGCTTTAATGTCATCAGCTAGTTATCTGCCGTCACAGGTGACTGATGTCTTCAATCAAGGTAGAGCCTTTGCGATAGTCAAATTACCCTTTGCTGGACTCAAGAATATATGCGCTCTTGCAACGTAAGTATATGTGGTATTTTGTGTGTCCTTGCAATGTAAATATATATGTGATTTTGTTTTATTATATACGTATACTCATTATTTCCTGTCTCCGGTAATACCAACTGTAATTTAAAATAGTGATGAATGGGTTACTGTAAAATACTTTATTTTAGCTGGAATTTTCGCTGAAGAAACCTTTGTATGAATGTTATTTTCACTGATTTTTGATGAGTTGAATGTAAGCTATGGGCAAAAAAGCATATTAGTTGGATTTTATTTTCCCCTTTAGCGAAAATAGTTAAGAATAAAAGTTCCAAAAAAAATAAAGTATTTTACAGTATATTTCTGCAGATTTTCAATTGTCAGTCGTAACTGTGAATGCGTGTGTACTGATGCATTTGGACATCATGCCTAATTTGCATATGATTCATATTAGCATAATTCTGTAAAAATACAATTTTGATACTCAACCAGTTGGTCACGTGATAAAAAGGTTATTTTCTGATGTCACTCATATTCGTAGACCTGGTTGATAACTTTTGGCGTTATGGGCTGTATTATTCACTCACCTTCAGTTTGATACTAGCACATGCCATCACTCTTAACCAGTTCTCAACCAAGTAATATTAGGTGATAATCAAATCATGGTCATTCTTTTTGAGATTTGTTAATTTCATGAAATCTATGATTCTCTACTTAAAGGCCCAGGTATACTATAAATACGGTCCTAAACAATAGGGATTATTTCCTTGCTTGTCACGCTGTAGTAAACAGCTCCAGCCAAGCCCCGGTAATAGCGCGTTTTCTCGAACTTACAGGTCGATTATGTCATGCCAAAGTGGATGCATGTGACTATGAATATCACAGCAGTGACTGTATGTAGTATTTATGACAATAAATAGTGTACGAGCTGAGATTTTGGCGGATAAAAGTCAAAAACTCAAACCGGGGAAAGGGACACGCTACTAATCTGGAATAATTAACTACTGTCAATCAAAGTCACGTGATGTTGGACCGCTGAAACAGGGTGCGTCATAGGCTATGCAAGTGATTAACAACACTCATTAGCATAGTCACACCTCCAATTCACACTTGCCCAGGGCAAGTGAATTGGGCCGTTAAAGGTGGCATTAAAGCCGTTCGTATACATGCTCTATTGTCTGTCACAGAAGTGCACACGAACCCAAATATTGTATGCTAGATTGTTTAAAGATCAAGTATATTAATTAATTTTCATTACTAGATTTGTTTAACTAGATTGATATAATGCATATCGTACACCTTGGTATATCTTTCGCTCCCGATTCAATCATGTGTTGTAGTATACTTATCATAATTTATTTTTTTACTAATGAATTGTTTGTCAGCAGTTTGTTTTGTAATCTTGAAATTTTATTTTACAATTATGAGTATGGTGTTATTCCATGGAATTCAAGGAGTGGAGCTACTTCCACTATTAAACAGGAAGAATTCAGTTGTACAATAACAAGTTTTGGTATAGCCTTAATTGAAGATGAGCATCTGTGCACATTGTATTGATTGCATTTCATTGTCTCTGGCAGGATACAGAAATTGCCCCGTGTGTTGGTAGCGTCACAAGATGGTTACCTCTATATCTATAATTTAGATCCAGCAGAAGGTGGTGACTGTACACTACTCAAACAACATAGGTATGTACATTTATTCCCCTCCATACTATATTCTCGCTTGTCATCTTCACATCAGAAAATAAAATATAACCATGCATCTTGTGGATTTTAGCCTATAGTGTATGTGCATTTAGACATCTTTCAAAGATGACTGCAATTCTCAGTTCAACGTCTGTTCAATTCGGCAGAAACCATGTGTCTTTCCAACTGACTTCATGTGTCAAGGGCTTTTCTTATAATATAGAAGACACTTTAATACAAACTTTAAGGTAGAACCCAAGAACGATGTCAACCTAAATATGAAATTGTAACACAAATAAATTTTAAGGAGGAATCTGACAAAATTTTCATCATCCAAGTTATCATTATATAATGATAAATTTTCCATTTCAATAATTTGTCGACATGATATTACATGATGAATGTGTGCCTGGTATGCTTACATGTACATTGAACAAACACCTTTCAAAGTTACATTTCAAAATCACTCCGACAGCTTTGTTGGGATCTCAGGATTATATGTGATAGTATTCAATAGTATATACAAATAGTGGGAAATATTCAGGAATTTGTTTGCCCTTTTTAGCTCCGCTGTCGACTTTGTCGAGCGGAGCTTATCATATGAG